CAGTCAGCTTCTGCTGACTCCTGCAGCTCCCAGAAAACTGCCCGGGGAAGGAATGTGAGCACAACAGGCTCCTGAGGGGCATCACACAATTGAGGATGTTCATGTGCTATAAAGAAGTGGCTGTGCTGAGAATTTCCCCCACAAAACATAAGCCCCAGCTCTATTTATAGGTCACTCTGCAAAAAAATAAGAATTTAAGGATTGCTCCCACTTTTGGGGGCTGACCAAAAGGGCATTTGTGTCCCAACTATCTGGAATATACAATTCTTAAAACCTCAAGCAGCTTGAGAGGTACTGGGCAGCTTGAGGGTTAAAACCAGATTTTAAAATCAGATTTTAAAATCAGTCAGCTTCTGCTGACTCCTAGAACACTGCCCAGGCAGGGAGTGTGAGGACAACAGGCTCCTGAGGGGCATCACACACAACTGAGGTGCAATCAGAACACCCATTGCAAGTTTTGAACCCTTTGTTGCAAGTTTTGAACCCTTTCTCAGTCTGAATCTCTCAAATCCCATCCTCTCCCCTCTCACCAGAAGGAGGCACTGCTGTTATTTCAGTTCTAAATTCCTCATTTCCCCAAAAAAACCCTGACAGACCACAAGGGCAGCTGGGATTTTCCCTGCTGAGCTAGGGGTGCTCCCAACCTTTCATTTCAGCCTGCAGGGAAGCTATGCCTGAAGCTGGAGGTCTCTTTTGAGGGCAGGATTAAGCTGAAAGCTCCTCTCAATCCCACTGCTGACCCAACTGCACAAGAGTGCTCCAAGGAATTGGGTCTGCCTGAGAATTTCCCCCACAAAAAATGAGCCCCAACTCTATTTACAGGTCACTCTGCAAAAAAAAATGAGCATTTAAGGACTGCTCTCACTCTTGGGGGCTGACCAAAAGGATGTTCATGTCCCAACTATCTGGAATACACAAACTCTTCAATAAATCAAAGCTTGGACAGTGAAATTGCCACTTCCCTCCATACCTTCACACTCATTTCCAGCAGCTTTTCATTCATGGTGCTGATGACATTCAGGTTCTTGCTCTGAGGTTTGTTTGCCATGGCATTCATTGGCTTCACAGGATGGAGTCTGTAACAGGAAAAAAAAAGTGTCCTGTTGTTCAGGCAGGAGAGGTAACAGCAGCATGAGAAAGATCTTTAGAATGAGAACAAATACAGCAAGAAATTGGGGATGATTCCCTCCCTGCTCTATCTCCTGAAAGAAAAGAGATTCAGCTTCAGGAAGACAAGGCATTTCTAAGCCACAGGGGTTTGTAAGTATTTTAAATATTTTCCAGTTCTCTGCTATCTTTACTGACTTAAGGTGTTGGAGATAAAGCAGCAGCAGGAAGGGAAATACATCCTGTGTGTGTCATGGAAGAAAAGCCAGGTCAGGCTGCACGAGGAGACAGAACACAGGGCAGCCACTGTGATCCCTCAGAAACTGGTATTTCAGGCTGCCTTTCCTAATCAGAACATATTTGTGATCTTACAACACACCAAATACTTCTGCTGGCCTGAGACAAGTGTCAGGCCTTGGCCAAGCTGAACTGACACCACAGCTGCGAGGAAGTGCTGGCATTATTTGGACTTACAGCACCAATTCTAACACAGGAACAAAATTTTATTTTTTATTTCAGCAAACATTGGCCCTGAGGTGTCCTAGACCCCAGGCAGAGCTCTGCAGGTGAAGTCTCAAGGGCTGACAGGTCAGTGGCAGCACTCCACAGAGCAGGTGAAACCTGAGGAGCCCACACAGGCAGAAAATGAAGCACCACCTCATTTATCAGGTGTCTGACAAACAGCTCAGCCCCAGGCCCTTCTGCCAGTGGCATGGAATGATTCCATTCCCCCTGCACTTTCCCTAAGCTCCCCTAAGGAGCTGCACAGACCCTCCTGCAGCCAGCAGCAGCCCCACAGCAGCCAAGCCTTGACAAACTCAGCTCCCAGAGGTATCAGGGCTGTCCTGGCCTCATGCAGGAGCCTCAGGGACAGATCTGCACTCAGAGGGCAAAGCAAAGCTGAGAGCTCACTGCTGTGACCCCCACATGTCTCACCTGTGCTGGGGATACAGAGTTTCACACCATTNTCTGCCTGCTCTGAATAACCTTCAAAACAGAAATTTAAGACACTAAAAGAACAATTTCTGGTTTAAAATGTACCTTTGGGCTAAATTCACTGATGCCATTCCTATGGTAGAAACATACCATGAACCTCAACATCTCCTACTCCAAAAAACCTGAAAACTTTCCCTTGAAGGATTCTTGGGAATGTCCACTTGATGAGATGAACTGAGATTTGGTCAGCTTACACTCAACTTTCAGGGCATTGATTCCTTTTAAATTACAGCCCAGCTCTGAAGCTGGGCCATCTTTGGATTTCTCCAGTGTAGTTAATTATTATTATTATTTTAAAAACAATCAAATCCTCAAGCTCTACTGTCCAAGGATTTATATTGCACTACAACTTCAGATGTGGAAAGAAAAGTAACTGATCTCTAAAAGCTGCTACAAAACAAAACCATTTTTAAAAAAAATCTTCCTAAAGGATCATCAGTGCCTTGCTGGGAAGCAAAACACATCAAAAACCCTCCTCCTTCCCATCACAGCCTGACCTTCCCAAACAATGGGAAGAAACCAAGAAAATAAATACAGTAAGGTGACCTGATGGGACTATTAATCAATCTGAGGGTTGCTCAAGGCAGGAACAGGAAAAACTCATTTTCTGGGAGCAGCACGAGCAGCACCAGCAGCTCCTCACCCTCCCCTGAGGGGGATCAGTCCTTGCCCACCAGACCTTTCACATCTTCCCAGCTTTTTTGTTGCCAGACATGGAGATTCTGAGGATGTTTGGGGTTTCCTCCATGACTCTGACCAGCAGGTTGTCGATGTAATCCTCGAGCTCCCTCACCTGCAGGTCCTTCCTGGTAATGGTATCCTTCTGTTTGAGCACCAGCTGGATCAGCTCATCGTGTGTCAGCTGAGCATAGGCATAGGCAGGGTCTGAGGGATCGTATTTCTGCAGAGGGAGGGAGGGAAGGCAGGCTCAGAGCAGGCACAGCACATTCCAGACCAGACACAACACCCAGAGCAGCACAGAGACAGCTGCTGCCAAACAAACCTGCAAAAGCTTCCAGCAGCTGCTTAGAAAGCCAAATTCAGGTTAGACAGCAAGAAACACCCACCCAGGCCTTT